AGGAAACATTGGTATCACTGGAGAAGGTAATGACAGTAATATATTAACAAATCTCCTAATTGGACAGGAAACATTGGTGTCACTGGAGAAGGATAATGACAGTTATATATTAACAAATCTCCCTGATTGGATAGGAAACATTGGTATCACTGGAGAAGGTAATGACAGTTATATATTAACAAATCTCCCTGATTGGACAGGAAACATTGGTATCACTGGAGAAGGTAATGACAGTTATATATTAACAAATCTCCCTGATTAGACAGGAAGCATGCAAATGTAACAGGGAAGGGGGCAAAGAGGACTTTAATTAATTCAAGAAAAAATTGTATATTTTTCATGTTGAATAATTAGAATGAATACATAGACCATTTTTTAATGTGTTGGCAAGTCATGAAAAGAATATATTTGCCATGTGTGTTTTAATCATCAACGACCCATTTTACATTTAAATTACTGCTTAGTTGTTTCATAGACCAAAAAAAAAAGGGATACGCAGCTTGTTGATTTCATTGTAAGATATTACTTTGCATAATTAAAAACAGATTACTTCATATTTATATAACGGTGTACTATGGAGTTAAAAATCCTGACTTACAGCGAGCGCAAGATATTTACATACACCTACCAGGTGCGGGAGTTAGGTGTATTTAAATATCTGTAATGAGAATGAACAACCACAATTTACGGGCGTGACTATGTTAATTAGCCTAAGTACCATCAAAGATCTCATCATCTGCGAGACGAGACTGAGTTATTATGTTAATTTACAGTCTATGGTTATTTCAAATTCCTGGAGCAATAAGTTTACCATAGTTGTGATGGTAATTCACTTCTATCATGTTACAGCCATTGCTGATTAATTTGCGGTCCAAGCCTCCCTTCTGGGGTTCCTGCAACGTTACAATATGCAAGATTCGCCATCTATACAATCCATCAATGCAAAAGTTAGGCTTGGAATTCAAATAGACATCAATGCCCGTGGCATGACTAAAGTGAATAGAAAGGCTTTATACTACAATAAGAATTTATCTAAACTTACAGGGAAACCCATAGAGTATGATGCAAAAAGTGTTAAATCCAATATATCCATTTAAATTCTGGATATATTGTATAGAAGTTCATGAGATATATTGGGCAATATTGACTATTGGATATATTCTCATTTTACCAAAACCAGAAGACAGTTATATTTGGATTTATTTGAATGTTAAATTCAAATTCAAATTCCTACCTATAATAGCCAGCACCGCATTGTGTACATGTGATGTCACCAGAAGCACTGTAATATCCAGCAGCGCAGGCAACTTTACTATTCTGGTTAGGACACTCATATCCAGCAGGACATGCATCACAGGAAGACAACGCTGAAATACAAACAAGAATGTTTACTGTAAACATCCATAAATCAATTAAAAGTGCCTCATTTGCATAAAAAACTGATTAGCTGCAACATTATTGCCTTCATTATTAAAACAGTCTTTAGTCAGAATTTAGTCTTCTTTTCTACTTTTATTCGCCCACCAGGACACCAACAAATATTTGTGTTTTGGTCATTGTATCATTACTATAATTTGTCAGGTTTAAATTTTAAAATTTCATAAAAAATCAGAGCAAAAAAAGTTAAAGCAAACAATTTTAAAGCATGCACATCAATTTTGAAAAACAAATTGACTAGAATCAGTTTTCGCATATTTTTCGTGTGTATTTATGACAATCACCTTTTACACCGATAAGTTTCTATACTGAATTATTCCTACCAACTAGAACGCCATTTGTTGATGGCAGCAACAACCAATAATAGTGAATCATCTAACCCCCCCCCCCCTGCCTGAGTGGTTGATTTATGGATGTCCAAGGGTGTTGGACATTTGATCATGTGACCGTACCTTCAATTTCATTATAAAATCCATCATCACACTGAATAGGTTCAGGCATTCCAGCGATTGGACATTTGAATCCGGCTGGACATGGTGTGCAGTCCTGACTACTGTTGTTGGCATAGTAACCGCTTCCACATTCTGTAGGTGACGATGTTCCAGCGGTACCACACATAAATCCAGCAGGACAGGCTGAACATGACACAGCACCAGCTGAGCTATAAGTACCAATCGAACATGTCTGTAATTTAAAATAATAATAATAATAATAATAAATTTATTGCAGTTTCCATTGGTTGACAACAGTAAAAGACATGAAGAAAACATCAACAACATCGTCCTCACTGGTGGCATGTACAATACCCTCACTGATTGTACATGGCACAACACCAGCTGAACTATATGTACCAATTGAGCATGTCTGTAATTTAGGATGACCAAACAACAGCGCCCTCAATGTTGGCATACTGTACATGACACATAGCACAAGATGATCCATAAGTACTAATCAAACACGTCTGTACTAGACGAATGAAAAGACATAACAATAACGCCCTCACTAGTTGAATATTGGTATAATTTGAAATGAATGTGTCGAGTCTGTTGAACTAAACAAGATTAATGAACTCTAATTGGCTTACTAACCCCAAAAGGGTAACCAATCAAAAATCACCTAGTTTGTTTGTTTGTTGTGTATTAATGGAATATACATGTATTAAACCAGTAAAATCAGAAAACTAAGTTAGAAATTAAAAACTAAACTAGAAACTAATTTAAGCTAGAAATCTTTGAACCCAGTCATGGTTTTATATTATACTAAATATTATTTATATAAAAAGAAAACCCAAACAACTTACTCAATTCCTCATCAATTCTTAATTATAGAAATATAATATCTCATGGTAGCATTGTACTAATGATCAATATCAAAAGACACGAGTTCAAATCCTACCTTAGGCTGAACATTAAATGATTGGCCCCTACCCTGGGTGAGTGTGCCATAGACTCACTGGCTGAGATGGATGCAGCTTTGGGAAAACTTTGGTCAGACCAAAGTCCAAATGTTTGCGACTGGGCCTGGTTGATGCCAGGATAGTGCAATACATTGTAATTTAATAGAGAGAGTGCTGTCATGCACTGTATAAATCTGAAACATTGTCCCCTGCAAAAGATCGCCTATGTGTGATGTTTCAGCACCTGGGCAATGTTTTGGTGCTTCAAAAACAAATAAATACCATAAAATATAATACTGTTTTTTCAAGATGGAGCTTTTGTAAAAAGTATGCAAACCAAGTTAAGATATACATAAAAAAATTAGGTAAATATATAATACAAGTTTAAACAATAAGAATTTCAAAATTTTGCAACTGAAAGCTTTGTCAATCTAGTGAGCTTGTAGAGAAACAGGGTCGAACAACTATACAATCAAAAAGGTGAATTCATTCATTGAGTCTTTAATAGCATCCATATATGGTAGCGATGAAAACTCAGCCTTTTAACAACACGGCACCGTTATTCAAGCTGTCAGAGTGATGTACTGTGGAATACTTTATTTTCGCTGGAATTAATTTTCGCTGAAAAGGCTTTTTGGGCGTTTGCTTGGAATTTATTTTCACTGATTTTGGATGAGTTTAATGTGAAAATATAGGAAAAAAAGTATATTCGCTGGATTTTATTTTCACGGAATCATCCCTTCAGCAAAAATAGCGAAAATAAATTCCAAGCGAAAATAAAGTATTCTACAGTATTCTATTTCTATATGTATTGCTTTAAACACTTCAATGTTTCCTTGCCACATGCCTGCAGTTATGTTTATGTTTTGTTTTTTTGTATACAAATTTAAATATTTTTTTAACACTTATGTATTATGAATTATTATATACATTTAATAATTATTTTTTTTAAATTATTCTGGTGTGCAAATTTTTACGATACATGTACCAAGTCTAGATTGAAAGACTGTATGAGAGTGTCGGTGTGTGTTGACAAATAATGTTGAGAGGAAGAGGTGATCTCCCAAAATATGACACATTATCCAAAACATTGCTCAGATCTATTTTTCAGGTAAATATGGTACTGTAAAACCTGTATTAGAAGCCGCAGCTTCTATTAAAATGGTACAATGCAATAGAGGGGATGCGGCTTCTATTAGAGTAACTACACATACGAGAAATGGTGAATTTTTGGTTCTCAATTGTTCAAAAAGACTGTTGCGTTGCGACTTCTATTAGGAATGCGGCATCTGATACAGATTTTACGGTAGTTCCAAACATGAATACAGTTGCTATGGCAAAATACACTATATGTCAGGACTGGCATATGCAATTTGACATTAAACAGGGACATTTTTCACAAAAAAAAGAATAAGAAATAAAATGATCCGGTTCTTTGCCCTGTCTACATATCCTTTTAGACAGGTACATATTTTATTTGACAGCAGAGATTTTTTTAAACAAGAGAACAGGGGCGCAGCACCCTCATGCCATGGCCATACACCCCCTTACCCTGGGGAGCAGATCCTCTGGCAACCATAAAATTCTGATTGACCAGGGATCACATGTCTGATAGTAATTTTGGCCCCAAGAAACCATAGAATCCTTCATTTTAACTTAGAATTATCAAAAACTCCACACCCTGGTAGAAGAACCCTATCTCCTCCGCTAAATTGCAGTGCTCGCTCTTGTAGTTTTTTCCTAGAAGAACCCCTGGACAGGGTATAAAAACTGTAACATAAACTC